CAGTGTTTTGACTGCTCTTCCTGTCATTATGTGCATCAGATAGGTGCTGGGGGTCTTGCTCAGCAAAAACCTAGTGATGCTTCAGTGATTTGGAGCAGAAAATTGCCCCGAGGGAATCAGTGTAATGATTTCTCAGGACTGAGGTAAAAAAGATTTCGACTCCCAAGGTGGGTGGTGATGGGTAGCCTCCCTCTGCCCTTATGACATTGGGAGTTATTTGGGGTTGGTGATATTTTGTGTAAAGGTATCTTTGCGTGGCTTTTGCTGAAGAAAGGTGTTGGGAGCAGCCACGCTGCATCATCCCGAAGCATTGGGTGGATGCAGTGGGGTACCAGAAACCCATTTGCTCCTGCAAAGCCTAATTCTTCCTTCCTTAGACTTTGATTCCAAACCAGACTTCAGACTTTGTTCCTGAAATGACTGTTTGTGGACTGTGGTGTTAAAATGTGTATCATTTTCGCCTGGCTGCTGACATGAGGCTATTTCCGTGGAGTGAACTCCAGTGCTGCTGGAGATGCCATCCTCCTGCCCAACGTGCATGCTCCTGGGTTGCTTGCTCAGCGTTTTCTGCAAGGCGCTGTCAATGTAGTGACGTGGTTCTGCCTGCAGTAGTTTCTGCAAGCAATCACTCAGCCCTGGGGGAAACATCTCCATTGCAAAGTGCATACATGTGGCAGGGGCCAGCAGGTCCACCCATGTTTGTACCTTTTGCTTGTACCTCATGGGAGTCCCTGCTGGGTAGGAAACAGCTTTTTTTTCTCCCCAGATTCTGCTTTGCAGCTGGGAGAGTAGGCTTAGGCAGGAGGGAAGGAGGGCCCAATGGATTAAACCAAGTTCTGACACCAATCTTCATACACTTGCTTAGCAAATGTTTTACATCTCCTTGCACCCAAGTCCTGTTGACTTTCTGCCAAAATCTGAGTAGTTCCCTGGTGTGTTTATTTTCCACCCTGCATGAGCAGGATGTCCTTACCAGGCAGTGCCATTGAATGAAGGAGGTCAGGAGATTTCCTACCGCCTACCAAAGCTGGTATGTGGAAAACAGCAAGAACACTGTGGTGAGGGGAGGGCAAGACTCAGGGGACACAGCCCTTTTAGTCCACCTCAAACAAAGCTGCCACAAAGCTGTGGTTTGTGACTGCCCTCAAAAGCTTTTGTTTCAGGGAAGGGTTGTTTTTTTTTGCCAAAATTAATCCTGTCCTTTCCCTCAGTGGCTCAGTGTTTGGTTTAACACCTCCTTTGAGCCAGGTTGTGTTCCTGGGTGTTGAAGGAAGCCCACTCAAGTCCAACCCAACACTTGTTGCGCTAATGCATCAGCTGTGTCCAGTGGAAGGTGACAAGCTCTCCCTGTCATCCATTTTGAGGCAACTCCCTCTGATTTTTTTGCAAGTTGAAATAAGAAGAAGGACATGGTTGATCTGTGCCTCCCCCACCTGTGTCACTTGACAGAAGTGTCCAGCTCAGTGTTTCTTACAGACTTCCAGTGTCCTTGGGGGAACGGGCACTATCCATTGTGCAAGGGGAAGAGAAGGTAGGAAAAAACTACATGGCTTCCTGGAGATGCAAGAAGCAGAGCTCAGATTTCCTTCTTAGTTACCACCACCACCCCACCTTTCTCCCTCAAAGGGATAAACCCCTGTTTCAATTCCACCTCCCTCCATTCAGTTGAGGGTTTTAATGCAGTGAGCGCTGATCTGGCAGTTAGCGAAAAACTTTGGTCTCTGCGTGATCCATTACAGAGCAAGGTGTGAGTGTTTCTTGATGAGCTAAAGCAGCAGGTAAATTAATACCCAGTCCTG